ACACACACACACACACACACACACACACACACACACACACACACACACACACACACACACACACACCTGGATGCTGATGCTAACTTACAGTTTGACTCACACAATGCACTAAAATCACACTGCATAGCTACAGTGGGTTTTTTCTCTCAGACCTGGTGTTTCTGAGGCATTGTGTGTGTTTCTAATTTTTTCTTAGTGTTACAAGACACTTGATGCATCTTCACCATGACAACAGTAAGTAGTAAGTGAGCGCTGCCTCTTTAACCTACACATCCATATGCAGTATGTTTTCTCATATTGTGAAGTTTCGTAGTTAAATCATCTGCAGGATTATGCACAATATGCTTCTTGTCAAGTCACAGTCAAACGTTAACTCTAATAGTGAAACTTGAAGGTTCTGAGAAACAATGATTTACTCCAGAATTGACGTAAAGCTGCAAAAAAGTCAGAGTTATTTTTTTAAGTCATAAAAATTACATACACAATCGGTCAAAAGTGCTCAATTTTTCAAGTTTTTTTATTTTTTTTATTGAGAATTATGCAGTTTAATGTCTCATTGTAAGTACAAGTACAATTAAGCAATTGGTGTTAATAAAATAAATAACAGCACTAAGGCAAGATAAAAACTTGTATTATAAATATAGCAGAAACATTTTTAATGGAGTAAATTAAATATGCAAACAGTTTATGCTTCTGTGTATTGTCATAAATTTTACGTGGAAATGCAGACAAGGTTGTCCTAATTTGAATTATTTTATTACATTATACAGACGAATTTAAGAAGGTTTGTGTCAATTTTCATTATCTAAAATTCTCTGAATTTTTTAAAGTTGATATTAAATACCTCTATGTCTAAAAATGTTAAAAACACGCAGCGGCTGTCGTAGGGTGTCATAATGTTTTCACAGCTTTGAGCATCAAAATCAAAATGGCAGTCAACATGTGACACAATTTTTGAACCAGTAAGAATAATTTAATTGCTTTCTCCCTTGATTAAGATCGTGCTACACAGATTTGTTCAAATATTTTTGATAATGTTGTGAAACTGAATTAAATTTTCACATACAGTGATCTCAAGTCATGCTGTCAGATCTCAGCTAATCTGTGTTTATGCAAACAGAAGACGTTCAGAAAGTGCTCTGCTGGAGGTAGGATACTGACTGCTCAACACCGCCCCACAGAATCACTTTGTTCCAAATTGTTTCAGACAATAAATAATTCCTTATGTAACTTAAAATCATCATATTCAGTCTATGAAAAATATTGGATCATATTCACCAAAGGTACAATAAATTAAAATTTGGTTTTTAACATTGAAAAAGGAGCAAGATGCGATTTTCAAGAGATGCAAATGTTTTGTTTATTTCTGTGGGGAACCTTGCAAATGCAAATGAGAAACATCCAGGACTCAGGAGCTTCATGCCCACTCCTTCTGTAGAGTAGTCTTATCCATAATAAGCCAGATTTCATTGTTCTCCACAGACAGAGCAATGAGATTAACCGTATGTGGAAAAAGATCATTGTGGCAACAACAGTCCCCGTTTGAGGACGGAGGAGGCTGAGATCTGTCCTAACCAACTCTTCTCTGTCTCTACAAACCTTTAGCACAAAGAAAGTTTCAACGTGTGAGATTAGTGCAAACAAAGTGGTAAAATAATCTGAAATGAGGAAAATAGGTACTTGAAACTGTAAAATAATTATAATGGAACTGGGTCTTCCTGTTAAGAGCATCATCACCACTAATTGCGTTCAGTCTAGGTTTAGTGAAATCTGGAAGAGTCGGCCATGTCTGATTGGCTGATCTTAAAACCAGTCAAGGACAATTGGTTATTATTTGCTGAGATTTGCAGTATTTGCTCCAACATAAAGAAAAAAATAAATTCAATGAATCCAATACCAATTAAAAACTGATTGTGGTTAATTGGTATTTGTTCTGGTGTTTTTGCCAATGCCGTTGAGCGATTGTGTCTATATTTGTGGTTTTTGTATGTTTTTCACCTGGTTAGAAGGAAAATTGCCTTCTAGGACCAAAAATAAAGTAACATTGACACAGTTCCACTGTCAACACCTGGTTAGGACTTTTGGTTCATCACAGGCACAACCATCAAACAACAAGGATTATTCTTTGAACTTTAAACAAAGTTAAAATAATAAGATGCTAAAATATGCAATACTCAACTCCAGTTGAAATTCAAGCAGTTATGGGAGTCCCATGTTTTATGTTTACTCTGTAAGGAAGACTCAAAATTACAAACTGAATTTTCTGTCACTTAATAGAGCCCTCTATGGAAGAACTAGAACAATTAATGGGTGATTAATGCAGGAAAAAAACTTAAATGGCTCTAACAGCAATTCACATTTTGCATTACATCGGAAAAAATCTTGAAAGAATATTAGTTTTTTCTGGTTTTTATTTGTTTTTACTGAATATCTTACTTTTATGTATGAAATTGTATGAATGTTTGTTTTTTCATCTAAAAAACAAACATGTTTCGATGAAAACAATGTTTCATGTAAACATTGTTTGTGCGGTCATTTTTTTTACAGTGCAACTTTCAGAAAAAGTGGAAATTTGGGAGAAATTACAAAATATGTTTTATGTTCTCTAAAGATCATATTCACTAACATCTAGACATAATCACAACAGAAACAACAACAAACAACCCCCCCTCTTTCCACAGACAGTGGATATATTTAGATGTTTTCTGTTACTTTCACGTTTGCTTCATATTTTTGTATGTAAAATCTGCACATATGCTGCGGACACTAGGACCCAGCGGCGGCAGCAGCGTCCCTGGTCCTGCTCCTCGCAGCCTCCTGCTCCATCTCTGCGGTCACTGTGTGTGAGCGGAGGGGGAGCGCAGAGAGAGGGAGCTGGTGTCTTCTCTGCCAGCATTTGCATCAGCTGCGTTTCAGAAGAATCCCGGCTGCCACAGCCGTGCGGTCATCCAGGGAGCGGGACGCTCAGGGCAGATGAAGGGATGGGAAAAGAGGCTGCTGTACTCCATGGGAAGTGCCTCAGCAGTGTTCAGAAGGTACAGTGATTGATTTCCAGTATGAAGCTCAGCAGTGGGAGCAAAATCATTCCCATCCTCAAAGACAGCAGCAGCAGCAGCAGCAGCAGCAGCAGCAGACAGCGGCATCAGGGAAATATTCTGGTTCAGGTGCACAGTGCTCTCTTTCCTGCTCTGTTCCCATCACTGTCTCTGATTCTCCACATATTCTCCTGCATGTTTCCTCCCTTTCCCATCTAATCTGCAACAGATGCATCTTCATTAACCGTAACGTGACGTTTAAAGATGTTTAAAATCGTGTTGGCCTCCTTTTCCTACGCTGTTCTCCAAACAATAACGACTGACATACAAATGAGTGAGCGGGTGAGACCGGACCACATCAGGTACCAGGGCTCAGCTGAACTGGGAGTAGCTCTGAATGTGATGTGCAGACGATGCTCTGGGAGGACAGTGAATCAGAGCTTAAGGCTGGATTTCTCTACCCAGATTTGCTCAACTGGCATCACAGGCAGGACACAGAGAATCCCTGCATCCTCGTCAGATGTAGGATGAACCAGCAGAGCAGCAGTAAAACATGTATGTGTTGACGTCTGTCCAAACATCATGCAAAACTGAGACTGAATTTAGTTGGTAAGTGGCCGACATCCTATTCTGGTGAGCATGCACCAAGAGAATCATTAGCATATTTAGACCTACATGCTGTTCTGGGGCTTCTGCAAATCAGAGGCTGTATTTCATTGTAAGAGGTCGTAAATATGAGGTTTAAGTTACACAACAAGAGCAGGATGTGGTGGAAGGATTGCCTGTTCGGTGGCAGGATTAGTTTTGGTGAATTAGCCTGCATTCATGCATTCAGAGGATGTATGCTTGGAAACCGAGGACATCACCTTCTGCAGTTCAGTCACTCTGGATTCATCAGATTGTTTTTCCATAATGTTTTCTAAAGTGCTTTATTTGTTTTCAACATATTTGCACCTACACTTTATTGGGCTCAGAATATTCTTCTCTTTGTTGCTAAAAATGGGCTAAAAGTTTTTCCATATAAGCTCTGGAAAAAGTATTGATGTGTCTTGAAGTTTGTTAGATTACAAACCCAAATTGTCATGTATTTTATTGTATTTGATGTGATTATACTAACTCAAAAGAAAGCGTTACTAGGAAATAAATGGAAACCTATGCAAGTTTTTAAAATTCTTAAAGAAATACATGAACAAATGGGACATGCATATGTACTTAGACCCTTTACTCTGATGCCACCAAATAAAACCCAGTGCAACCACGAGCCTTCAAAGATGAAGAGGCTGTGTGTGATTTAATCTAAATCCAGCTTAGACAGCAAACAGGTCAGGGATAAAGTTCTGAAAAAGTTCAAGACTTTGAACATCTCCTAAAGAAACAATTCAGTTTTCAATGTTAGAAGAGTTAAAAAGCAGATATCCTCCTTGTAGAGAAGTAGAAGATATGTGGAAGAGACATATGTCAGAATGGCCTAGACCAAGTCCAGACCTGAATCCTATTGAGGAACTTTGGCAAGACTTAGAAATTGCTGTTCACAGCCCATTTAATTTGACCGATGCTAAGCAATACAAAGAATACTGGGTGATCAGATTTGAGTCTGTATGTGCAAAACCAAAAGAGACAAACCTCAAAAGAGTCAAAAGCTAATTGATTAGCTGGATAAAAAATGCACACCACACTAAAAAGAAAACCTGAGAATCATGTGTTCTGCTTTCATCTCATAATTATGCTCTAACTTGTGTTGGTACATCTTATAAGCTTTCAATAAGAAACAATGTGTTGTTGCAGCTGTGGAAAGGTTTGAAGAATACATTTGCAAAGATGAGACATCGACAATACTAACTTATAGGTAACTTTTCAGCAAGATGTAGGAGCTTGTTTTAATTAAATCATTCTTTAATATTTATAAAAATATATATTAGTTCCACTGGTGGATTATTTAACTTATAATAAGACAATTTTCCTATTTTATAAGTGAATTAATCTGCCAGTGGAAATAGTTCTTTTTCATCAATATTAAAGAATTATTGACTTAAAACAAGCTCTTATATCTTGCTAAAAAATTACTTGTAAGTTACTTTTGCGTTCTTTCAAGTGAACTAATATTAGAAAAATACTCAGTTAGATTTTGTGTTTTTACAGTTCTGCAAAAGTGGTAAAAAATTATTTCATTGATCAGCGATTGAATACATAAATGAAACATTCAAACTTTGACTCACTCTTTCGCCTTTCTTCTTCTTCTGTTTTCATGTTAGCGCGGGATGTGACTGAAGACTCGGTGAACCTTCTGACAATCCCAGCGTCGCCCTCTGGACCTACAAGACAACATTTGACCTAATTTTCAACCCTCGTACTTTCTGACCGCGCTCCCTGGCTTTGAAGGATGGGTGATGGGCCTGTGACTGACCCCGCCCGCCTGCCCCGTCCTACCCTTCAATGGAGCCGACGTGGAACTCCTCCCACACGACTCCGCAGCCCGTCTCCAACGTGTCCGCCCTGTCGCTGCCCGAAGGCTGGGCTCTGTCCCAGGCGCTAGCCCTGCTAGCGATGCTGCTCATGGATCTGCTGGCTGTGGTGGGCAACGTGGCTGTCATGGCAGTCATCGCCAAGGCCCCGCAGCTCCACAAGTTTGCCTTTGTCTTCCACCTGTGCGTGGTGGACCTCCTGGCAGCCCTGGTGCTGATGCCGCTCGGCATGCTCTCGAACCGGGCCTTCTTTGGTGAGGCCTTGTGCCGGAGCTACGTCTTTCTTAGCGTGTGCCTAGTCAGTGCTGCCATTCTCTCCATCTCCGTCATAAACGTGGAGCGGTACTACTACATTATACACCCCATGCGCTACGAGGTGAAGATGACTGTCGGTCTGGTGGCTTCGGTGCTGGTGGGGATCTGGGTCAAAGCTCTGGCCATGTCTGCTCTGCCGCTGCTCGCCTGGTTCCTGCAAGGCGGAAGAACTCCTCTTCTGGAGAGCGGCGGAGGGGGTGGAGGGGCCATCCCGCCTCCCCCCACCTCTCAGGGTCACAGGCGCTGCTCCCTCCACTGGACGGGAGGAGGCTCAAACCGCTTAGCCTTCATGGTCCTTTTCACTCTGGTGTACTTCCTCTGCCCACTGTTGGTTATCCTCGTCGTCTACTGCAACATGTTCAAAGTGGCTCGGGTGGCCGCCATGCACCACGGGCCACTTCCTACTTGGATGGACACGCCGCGACGGCAGCGGTCAGAGTCGCTCAGCAGCAGGTCCACCATGGTCACCAGTTCAGGGACGGGGACTGGCACCGACAGAGCCACGCCACACCGACCCTTCGGGGGAGGAAAGGCTGCCGCCGTGTTGGCGGCTGTAGGTGGGCAGTTCCTGTGCTGCTGGCTGCCCTACTTCACTTTCCACCTGTACTCAGCTCTGGCTGCCAGTCCACCCGCCGCGCTGGCCTCTCTGGAAGAGGTGGTGACCTGGATCGGCTACTTCTGCTTCACCTCCAACCCCTTCTTCTACGGCTGCCTGAACAGACAGATCCGCGAGGAGCTCGGCAAGCATCTCCCTTGCCTGTTTCGCAGATCTGGGGTCGAAATGGAGGACAGACTGCCGAGCCGTGACGGGTCCATAGAGGAGAACTTTCTTCAGTTTCTTCAAGGCACTGCCTGCAACCTGGACCCTCAAAACTCTCGCAGCACTTCCAGCCCGAAGGGGGGAGAGGCCTGCTGCCCTGTTACTCAATGCCAACCCACTGAGATAGCACAACCCATTCCTATTGATTTCCGCATCCCTGGGCAGATTGCCGAGGAGACTTCAGAGTTTATTGAGATCGAACAGGCAAAAAACAACCACATATATACAGACAATTAGGCTTTATGTTGCAAGCAAGCAAAGATGGAGAGAGTTTCAGAAAATTCCCTCTTTTTTCACTTTTGTTGAAAGATGTGACTCGGTTTGACCCTTTAGGTTTTCACTATATTTTTCAGCTCATAGTGACAAACTTATGGTGCCTCGCAAAAGTATAAATACCAATTGAGCTTTTTCACATTTTTTACATTGCAACTGAAACGTCTGTGTATTATTTATGCTTCAAAGTGATTTATGAAGTGGAAAGAAAATGTATATAGATTTACAAGTTTTTATAAACTTGAAAGGATATATAAGTTTTTACAAATACAAAACTGAAAAGAGTCCACATGTATCCCTTTACTATCCTCCTTTACCCTCAATTAAATTGCCTTAAGATGTCACCTAATTAAACCAAAGCAAATATTATCCCCGTGTATAAATTGATCTTTGAATAAATCTAGTTGATCTTGAGAGACTAGAGAACAAACAGCATCATGCAGACCAAGGAACACAGCAGAAAGGCCAGGAATAAAATTGTGGAGAAGTTGAATGCAGGTCATGGTGAACAGTTGAATCAGTCGTCCACAAATAGAATATGAGTAGCAAACCTACCAAGATGGCCGCCCACCTGAACCAATGGTTAGCAATTTTTATAAAAAGATTTTGCTTAGAAAATCAAAAGCAACATCATTCTTTTGAAGCGAAATAGCTTGTTTTCATAATACACGCTATAGGAAATTTCTTTATGTTTTTAAACAAATTGCAAACTGCAAAACAATTGAAACTGAGAGTTTTACCTTTCAGCAAGATATCTACTCTAAACAATCGGAAAGTTTAGGGTAAAAATGTTGTGGCTTAAATTACAGCATGTTTAAGCATAGTCAAAGTCCAGGCCTAATCTGAATGTGTCTAAAACTGGACAAACAGTGAAAAGACTCAAGGTTAAAAAAGCACCAACTTAGAGAAGCTAAAAACTACGTATTGTTTTCCATCCACTTCACAATTATGCTCTACTTTCTGTCGGTCTGTCACATAAAAATCCAGTAAAATACAGAACATTTAGTTGTAATTTGACAATTTGTGAAAAAGTTTCAAAAGGTATCAATATTTCTGCAAGAGATTGTAAAGGATTGTATTTCAAACTATTCCTTCTGAAAAGGGAAATTTCTATAAAAGAACTTTGGCTTTAAACACAAACACTCAGCTCATAACAATAATAAAGGAAACCTTGAGAATTCACACTGAAAGAACCCTTTAAAAATTTGAAGTCATAAATTGTAACAGTATTCAGAAATCTAGTTACATGAAGGGAACAAAATGGCGCTTTAAGTTGCAAATGTTTAGGAAATTCCTCTGTAATTTTAGGGGATCATATATAAGGTCTATGATACGAATACAACATTTTGAAGTCTACTTGGTCTAAAAAAAAGTTGGTTTGGTGAATTTCTATGAAAATTAGAACAAGACAGCAATAAAATAAAGTGTATATTAGGTAATTTGGCTTTCATCTGTTAATTGAAAATGCCAGTCCCCAAATCAGGCCTGGTGGTTTAATATTTAATGGAAGTGGTGCAGAAGCAACGGCTTCCTTTCTTTAAATAAGACCTTCTTTCATTTTTTTCTAAGAAATTAGGTGAGATTTAAAGCGGCTCCATTTAGATTAAAAAAACATCATCAGGGTTATTGAAACTCTCTGCCGTTTATTAAGCAGGATATTTGGGTGTAGCTTTTTAAACAGTATTGTGTGAGAGCACTGCATTACATCCAAATAGGGTTCTGTTTCTTTTGTTGCTTTATGTAATAAACCGTGTTTATTTTTTGTATATGTTTATGTTGTGCGCGCCACTCAGTGAGTGCAGTTTTTTTATATTGTGAACCTCAGCTTTTGACATTAAACTAAAGATAAGCAAGACAATATTTTTTGTTTTCTTAACAAGTAAGCAGAACTTGTTGCTATGTTTTTGCCTGTGGACATTTTTCAGTAAAACCTTTACTTTGGCAACCCGTATCACAGAGCATCTGCTTTTTGAAGGTTCACTAGGAATAAGGGTCTTAAAGTTTCTGGCCTTGACAATGAATTCAGCTGGTATTTTATAGCTGTTAAGGATGAAATATGTGGACATGACTGTCAGAAATAATCTTTCTTACATGGAAACAGGGTTTACATAGTATTTTCTCAAAGGTTGTTTTAGTGACAATGCCAGTCAAAAATCAAACACTTGTTAAGCTTGATGCTTTCTTTTCATCATGACTAAATAATATCCCAAACTGTGAATGATGTGTTATAGGGTTCGCTTTTGTTCAGAGATCAATTTTATGCTGTGACAACAACAACAACAACAAAAAAGAGTAACTTCTACTGTTCTGCATCAATATGAATGTGTTCAGGGGAAAAGGCCAAACCTTGGGTGGAAGAAAGTGTTGTAATAAAGACTTTATATGTTTGTAAAACATTTTGAATCCACTCTCAACTTATGTGAGTCATTTATTTTTGCAGAGCTGTTCTAATAGCCTTTGTTTTTGAGCCATTCAAATCAGATAATTGTTCTGCTACATCACCCAAGTACATTAGTCAGATCCTATGTGTTTTATTTTATATTGACCTAGACTTTAGACACATCACATTTGACAATTTACATAATATTAAGTCGAAAAAGAGAGAAATAAACAGTAAGAAACCAAACTTACATGCAATTTTGACGTTAGCATCAGCTGTGTTGCCAAAGCTAATGCTAACATTGAAGTTTTAAGTTTTTAAATCCTTTTGAAGAAGCTGACATGGAAACTGTTTTCCTGACAACCACAGGTAAAGTACGCTGTCCATTAATAATACCTGGCTCACACTTAAAAACTTTAGCTAGAGGAAAACCTATCTTTAGCAATAGTTGCTAATCTAGCAGCAGCTAAAGGTTAAACATCTAAAAGTGTTTTGGTCTATTTGTTACTATAAACACTGTTAATGTTAGAGTTTCCATTGTTAAGCATTAAATATAGAAACTATTATGTTTGATTTATATTTTTGTAATTTAAATAGTAAACATTAATACCCTCCAAAGTTATTTTTTATAGTGTAGAGTCCCATTGGCTTTCCACTGTTCCATGTTTTTCCCTGATGTCCTAAAGCCTTAGAAATTTATTTGCAATCCATTTTAGGCTGGTAGATGTTGAACATTGCTTTCCTTTTGATTCTTTAGGGTTTTGTTACTTTTATGAACTTTTCCATACTTCATGTTATCAGATCGGTTCTATTTAAGGAATATCTTTATTTCACAGGTCAGGCGGTGATCAGACGTGGATGCAGCTCATACAATTAATTTGAGTTTACCAAAAAAAAAAAAAAAAAAAAAGTTAATTCCAGTTAACTCTTAATTATTAGCATTACTTTTTGAAATTTGGTCAGGTTATTTTCCCTTAATAGTTATTCGAAAGCTGCTGTTTAGAAACATTCACGGCGCTAAAATTTGAAGCATTTCAGAATGACAAAGCAGCAAAATAACATCAATCTGTTACGGGGGCAGGGCAATGCTATATTTACATTCCCGACTTGGTTGTGCACCCCTTAATCCCTGGGCTTCACATAGATATCCCAGAGAAGAGGGACCTGGCGGGAGGACTCAGTTCAAACAATTTGACCTTAAGGTAACATTTAAACTCGAAAGGGCAACGCAGTGCTGTGACCTTCATCAGAAAAAAGTGGATAAAAAAATGTGGAGATGCTCGGCCTAATCAAATCAATCGTGCCACTGTCTCGTTTGGAAGATGCTGATGCGTGACAGGCCTCACACCTCAGTGATGGACCTCAGTCAAACCGCCCCCAGCTTCAGCAGGCTCTGCCATCCCCATGGCAATTATTACCTAGTGACATTTCTCAGCACTGTGGTGGGTGGGAGGAGGAGCCTGCTCCGTCGGGAGCCTAGAAAGACTCACTTTGGCATGACTTTTTAAAACATAGAGAGGAAAAACTGCGGCTTTTACTTTATGATGTTGTCACATTTTGAGGAGCACTTCTCTAAAGTCTTTTTGAGATAAGATTAAAAAAAACATGACATGTTTGGGAGAATTATTTTGAATATTTCTGCTGTACAGCTCTGGAAAAACTTAAGAGGCCATTGCACTGAACCCCATTGAAAACCTCCTGGTTATTCCACCATATTGATCTCTGAACTCTTCCTGAGTTAAAACATTAGTGTTGTTGTTGTTTATAAATGAATATGAATGTTTCTTTGCATTACTTTAGGTCTGAAAGCACTGCATCTTTTTTGTTATTTTGACAATTTCTCATTTTCTGCAATAAATACAAAATTTTTGCTTGTAACTTCAGAGCCATGTTCTCAGTAGTTCATAGAATAAAATAACAAAGATCATTTTACTTAAATTTATACCTATAAAAAGTAAAATCAGTGAAACTAATAATTTTAAATGGTCTCTTAATTTTTTTTCCAGAACTGTGCATAAACATAAACATAATTTATGCATCTTATTTATGGTGGGATTTTAGGATATCACCTAAATTCTTGTGTATGACATAAAACCTAACATCATCCTTCATTTCTTCATAATTTTCATCCAAACTATTAAACTTTCTTGCCTTTTTTGTACTTTTTCACAGGATTTTTTTATGCTTTTTTGATCAGTCTAAGACAAATGTTTTTTTTTGTTTTTTTTATACAGCCACTTTTAACTCGCCTTATGAATCATTTATGTTCACAAAAGACTGTTATGCTCAAGTGTTGGGACTTAAACTGAAAGACAAAAGGCAAAGAACCAATTTTTAATTGGATTCTTTGAATCTTTGTTACCAAAGAAACAATTTGTTGCTGTTACTTTTATTGAGAAATATCAAAGAAAAAACAGTTTGACAAACTGAAAATTGTATCTCAGCTTCAACAAAGTGATTCCTAAGGAGCTGTTAGCTGAAAACTTGGCCTGCAGCTCAGATAAATGATAATATTTGTCTTTGCTAAAGATTTTTTATTGTCTCAAGAAATCAGTCAATCAAGTTTAGCACATTTCAGCAGGTGGTTTACATAAAAAAACAGAAAATTACAAAGTCATGAAATCACTTTCAGATGATTTTTATCGATGGATCTCGCTGTGGTTCCCTGGAGTCACAAAACCTTTCAAAAAGCTTCCTGACCCTTTATACACTGATACATGTCAATGTTTTTAATCTGTTTTGATTTTTTTTTCAAGATTCGAGATTGGGGATAATGTGTTTTCTGAAATTAATTTATTTCTTCCATTTGTTTTATTTTTTAGGTCTGACACATTGTTGTCTGTTTGTGCACTTTTCTCTTTTCTGTTAGCACAAACAGCAACAAAGGTTTTCATGGTAAAAGTAAAAAATAAAAATAAAATCTTGAGAGGAAATGTGCTGAGGGCTAAGAAGAATGTTGAAAATGATTTCTGAAAGCCACAAAAAAGTATGACTAAAAAACTCCAAAGGATTGCAAAAAATACTCCTTGAAAGAAAATACATACAAAAACAAAAATAGGACTGTCTACAAGGTTTAATGCAACTAAAACCAATATCTGGCTTGGTGCATTTAAACCCTATGAACTCTAAAAATGATCATATTTAATGATTGATTGTTTTGTGGCTTCAGAGAAACAGCCATGGAGCCAAGTCACTGTCTGCTGATCAACACAGTTTGAAGAGGCTGAGCAAACATATCAGAGGTAGATTTGAAACAGAACAGCCACATCTTTGCAGTTCCCAATAAGCATGAATGCAGAAGAAAAAAAAATCTCTGAAACACAAAACACCTTCTACATCTTTTTACAGAGAGGAAAAAGAAAGAATATCAATAAATTAGACTTTTAGAAAAGCTGGAAATCAGCTTTTTTAAGTTGTGGGGTTGATTATTGTATAACAGAAAATGTGTTTTTCTTTTTTTGTCCTACCATCGCAAATGTAAACGTGTCTAGTTCACTTTACTGGGATTTTAACTGGAGCTGTGTGTTTTGGTCAGGTGAAACTAAACTGAACCTTTCTGCAACAAACCCTCCAGTATAGGGCTGGTTTGACACCTTGTGCCCAGTGTTAAACATGGTGGAGGATCTGTGATGCTGTGGGCCTGTTTCTCTTCTAAAGACCCTGTGAACCTTTTTTTGAGCCTTTTCAGTTTTTAAATTAGTCATAACATTTAAACAAATGAAGACACAATGTGGAGTGCTGTGGTGGCACAGGGGCAAAGCACAACCCACATATTGAGGCTTTGGTCCTCGTGGCAGTGGTCACAGGTTTGATTCCCAGCCTGGTGACATTTACTGCATGTCTTTACCCTCTTTCCTGTCAAACTACTTTCAAATAAAGGCCACTAGAGCCAACAAAATGAAATAACAAAGACATAATAATTCATCAGACACAGAGTTGACCTTCTGATCTAGCAATCTGCATTCCCAGAACTAAGTCCTGATTTCAGCTGTTACAAACCTTATCTGCTTTTTTTTTTTTTTCATAGAAGTCCAAAGGTTTGAGTAAATCACTCTGTTAGCTGAGATGTTGGACTACAGCCCTAAAAGTCCTAAGCCCGCCCTTTTCTTTATGATAGTCCTCCAGGTGAACTTTGACCTAATCAGGAGCAGCAAAATCATGATGATGATGCAAATTATTCAACTTTAAGTTTATTATTTGATGCAAACCTATGGAGTGGTGAAAGGGGAGCATACCATGTTAAAAAGATATAGTTTATCTGTCCAAAAGGAGGAGCTTGAATAAATTGACACTCTCATTTATGGTTTCATTTAGGCCACACACACAGCTCATCTTTTATAAATCTAACTTTGTAACGTTTGAGAATAAATTTAAAATTCAAGAAGCAACAGAGAAACTAGATTTGTTGAGTTCTTTGATATCCTCTATACCTCATCTTGTGTTAGCAAACACTGTCCTTCCTCCCTTGACGTCACGTCACTGTCCATATTTATATTAGGGTTGGATGTTTCGACATCAGGTTAAGAAAGGCGACAGTGTATTTAAGAAATAACTGTTCATGTCCAAAATCATAAAAACTTTTAGATGTGTGTTTATTTCAGGCATTCTTAATCATATATACATTTTATTTAAAAAGAAATAAAACACAAAATATTAATTCGAAAAGCTATTTTCGGGGGGGAGGAGTGAAAAAACTGATCAGCTGAAAAGTAAGTCTTATTTGATCTAATTTTAATGTTTAGTATCTCAAAACATAAAATCACAGGTAAAGAAAAAATTATACTCTGATAAGCTCCGTACCTGAACAGTAAAAAGTTTATACTTCATCCCGACGTCACTAAAATGTGACAAATTTTTGACGTTAAAATGCTTTGATGTGTACAGACGAAACAGCGCCCTCTACAGACAGTATGGCATGTCTGCAGGATCTGCACCTGCCCAGAAATACGATAAAAGGTAAACTTTTGGTTCTTTTTGGCTGTAATTTCATGCTTTATTATTTTATAAATGAAAATAAATTAGTTGTCACATGTTCTTACCACAAAACTAAAAAAAAAAAAGGTTCAATATTTCAGTTTTAAATATTGTGGTTGTTGTTTTTAACATAATAAATCAGTCCTAGTTTTGCATTATAAAAAAAAAACACAAAATATATATTGTTACAAAGCTAGCATAAAAAGCGCCAAAAATTACAAAACGCTTTCGTATTTATTTAATACTGTATGATGCTACTAAGAAAAAGAAAAAAAACAAACAAACTGATCTATAGTGACAAAAGAGGTTTTTTTCCAGTTTCTTTACATGCATAAGTCATTGGGTTAAATGGTGCATATACACGTCCATGCAGACATTTTGGGGTTTTGACAGGCGCCTTTGCTCCAGTTACTGCAGATAAGACCTTATCTGAGCTGGCAGGACCGCGGACAGCCTCTTCTGAGACTTTGAACCTCTGAGAGACAAACTGGAGCGGCTCCTTTAAAACCGATACCTAATCCACACTGAAAGGAAACTGAAGTTCCGTCTAAACATAAAAACCCACGAAGCTCATGAGCTAAGGTGAAAAAATAATGTATTTATGGTGTCTACTTAATACTTTACTTTAGTGACGTTTGTTTTTATTGGTTATTTTGAATGGTTATAAAATGAGGAGATCGTTTAAATTACATCCCCAAGGTGTCAGAACAGTTAAAGTTAATGTATTTAAGGATAGTTAACACGTTTAAGTTAAGCTAGCGAGTGTGTTAATGACCTTTGATGAACCGGTATCAACTCTGTATGAACAGTTACTTTCCACCATGTTAACTTTTTTCTGCATTCTTTCTGTGTTTTCAGACCATTTCCTTTATATTTGAGCTTCTTTGGTCCACTGTCGCCTGCAGCTAACTACAACAATGTCAGGTATGTCGGTTCACATCCTGTCCGAAATGTTTAATAAACCACGCAACACAAGGGAAAAACGCTTTGTGCTCTGCTAATGTTCAAGGAATGTTTAATTAGTTATAAATTAATTTTATATTCATCTGAATACTCAGAACTTGCAGTCAAGGAAGATTAGTGCCATTATGTTACTAATTAACTAAAGAACACAGGAAAAAATGCTGGCTTTTTCCAAACGTTTTCCCTCTTTTTACAGAGAAAAGAAGTCTAATAATGCAATAGTTTTCACAATGACTTATGTTAAAGTGAAATGCTTTATGCCTAATTTGCTACATCACACCTTGATTTGAGTATTTTAGAAATCAGCATTTTGTTCTAGGGCTTAATGACTGAATGCTTCCTTATTCAAAAGCCAGGTTTTGCCAGGTCGCTACCTGTTTGGTCTCTGGATCCCAACCCTGGTCTTCAAGGCTTATTGCCCTGCAGGTTTTAGATGTTTCCCTGATTTAGCACACTTGATTTCATTTGGTGGCTGATGCTTTAATCATCTTACTCAGGTGTTATAAAGCAGGGCAGTGTGCCTTCACGACCAGGGATGGGCAACATCCCTCTAGGCAACTTGAATTTCTGGTTGAACTAGATCTTTATTGGCACTATAGTAGCTCTACAGATATATTGACACATTAATAACTCTGAAAGCCCAAAACTAACCACTAAAACTGCTAGATTTATTTATTTTTGCAAAGCATAGGTACTTAGAAGAACCTCCATCTTTGTAGGATATGTCACTGCTTATTGTGGAAGTCGAGATTCTTGATTTAGAAATTAAGCTTGTCATACTTTGACCAGATGTGAAGAAAGAAGTTAAAAACTCTTCCCCACTCTCCAAACATCATCCAATTTTACTGTTTTTTTTAAATTATATATTCACTCATCAGATAAGATCCAACTAAGACTTAAGCAGATTCAATGTAGTAATTTGTGCTTAAATGTCCTGAATGTTATTGAAGCAAAAAAAACAAACAAAAAAACAATAAGTTGAGTCTGAAATGGAAAGTAGTATAATATTTATGTAACTTAATTCATGCAATAAAAATGTTAAATGCGTACTTAATGCATTAAGTTTTCTATATATATTATTCAAATGTTAATTTCTTAAACACTATTTTCCTACAATATGGCAAAAGTGACTTTTCTGTCATAGCAAGTTTAGTATTATTATATATATATATATATATATATATATATATATATATATATATATATATATATATATACTATCTCAACTCCAGTTATATATATTATAAAATTATATATAAAATTAATCATCCATTTAGTTTAAAAATTATTCAGCTAAGAAGTGTGTCTGGCAGTGACCAGGCTTTTCTAGATAGAATGATGTGAAAGGAATATCGGATAGAAACAAATAATTGACTTGTTTTTATTTACATTTATACTCATCTCAATAATTAGTAGGACAATTATTGAGATAATACAGCAGTCAATCCCCTTGTTATAATAACTGAGCTATTTTTTGGTTGTTATTTATTTTTTGATGAGTTGTAAGTATTTGAAGTAGGAAGACCTCCTTCACCTCATAATCGTTAACTCCTTCTACAGATTCTCTGTCAGATCCAAAAATGTTAATTTTACCTCCAGTCAGAAGAAACATTTTGGTAAAATATATTACAAAAAAAAATACTTTAAACCTAAATCTGCCTGGAGTTTAAAGTGCTTAAGTCTGTCCAAATACTTTGAAACTTACAAGTTTTTTGATTTCCAAAACAACATTTTCTAGAAACTCTTACAAGCTAGTTTGGCTTTCAGCCATTAGCGACTGGCAGAATCAGGAGTAGTAACAAGTCAAGGCTATGTTTTAGAAAAAAATGATAATAATAATAATACAACAGGCTTACATTTGGCAAGGCCCAATACTTTTTCACATTTCAAAAATATTTGCGGAGAGGCAATTTGCAGAAAGAAAGCAAACAGTTTTTTTTTCTCCTTGCTTTTGGCCTCTGCAAATAAGACATTGAATTTCGCTGGCTGTGCTCTCGAAGGGTAAAAAAAAAAAGATTCATCAGCATGCAGTGATACGCACAGTGGTCTCATTCTTAGCAAAAGAATGTGAGCTCACAAATCCTAACCAAGCAGAGAAAAAGCTACTGAGGAGCTGCTTGGTGATGAAACCCCTCTGTGTCCTAAGAATGTGAGTATTTATGGTATTCACTAATAAAAGGATAGTTTGCTTTTTTATTTAAGATTAAATTAGGCCTGTGTGTGTGTGTTTGGTTGTTTTTGCTGGTGCTGCTGCACCAGATGGTGAGTCGTCTCTGAAAACTAGGTCAGATTTCGGCTGCAGACGCCCAAAAACATTGTTTTTTAATGTTGACAACAATATCGAGGATGATCTTCGACTTGGTCAGACAATGAAGCTCAAAGGTTTCTTGTTGGAGCTTTTCTGAAGCTGTTTATTTAAGGATTAATATTTTACGTTTTTGTCTAAAGAAGTCTATTTAACATCCACTCAAAATAGTTTTTGGATAGTTTTTATACATAAACATGGTAGGAAGTTTGTTCAAACTGTCCTAGATGAATCGTAAATCACTGTATTGGTAAATTTCTACTTTGTCTGATCTATATTGCAGATCTGGAGTTTACATAAAGGAAGTGGTCGTCTGAATCTGTGTTTACACTTTAGAGGCTGTGTGCAAACAAACTGTGAATGCCTGGGCTGTGACTCCAGATGAACAGAGCTTTAATACAGATACTGAACAGTAAAATCCCTCTTCCTGGGTGATTTATCCACATTGCAAGCAAGTTGAAGAACAGGCCACTGGGATTAATATCTATTAATTTCAGGACATTTTGGCCGTAAGAGAGAAATAAGTTCTCCTAGTTGCATTATTTTGCTTACCACTAGGTGGGGATCTTGACCTTTTTTTTAGGTTTTTCATGCCCCAGATTCTCAAGTCACTGATTCAGTCAAACATTTTTAAGAGCTCAGTAATCCTGTCATCACCAGTTTGCATTCTTGAAAGTCCTCCGTCTTGCGTAACAAGTTTGTGAGTGTGCTGATAAGATTACAGATAACATTATCCCAGGCTGCTGTTTGTGGTTTTCTGCTGTGTGAATGACAGCTGCACATTTTATACGATGGTTTGAACCGATGAAAAGACAAATTCGCATTGAAATAAATCGGTATAGCTTTATTGGATGTAACTGGATTTAAACTGGAGCTGTTTGTTTTTGCACAGCGTCCCGTAGTGAAGTTATGTAATCAGAATGCATTGATTTGAAATCTGGTCAATCAGTGGAGGTTTATTTATAAGTTTGCTTTGACATGCGGTCACTGCTCATTTAGACGAGCAGTGTGATCAATTATGTTACTAGAAAGTTGTGCATGTAGTGTAGCCTGTCCCAGGTTGTGTTACTGTCCCTGTCTGTGCATTGGCTGTCCCTATTTATAAAACGCCCAGTCAGGAGGGCCTGTGCTGTGTGCGTTTCAGCTGCCTGGCTCCCCTCAGAAGTTTCCAGCAGGAAAGAGTCGCAGACCTCACCGGTTAGCCGGTTTCTAAGCTTATCCTCTCTCTTCTGTTTGTTGTCTTTGGCTCTTCCCCTCCCCCCTCCATCTCCTGCTGTTCATCTAAATCTCCTTCTTCTCTTGGCTAACGGGAGCATTCTTATGATACCAAGTGGATCTAACTTCTAAGTTTAGACAAGTGGAAAACTTTCGTCCTCCTCTCACCTTGGCTCTGAGCTGCGGGGGTACAAGTTGGTCACCAGGACTGCTGGCTGTCATGCTAGCAGCACACCTTCTTCTGCAATGGCCTCTTCTGTGGTTGTATTTCACCACGCTGGCTACAGGAAGTTCATTCCCTGGTTGCTAAGGCAACCAAGGAGGACAGTCCCCCGCAGGATCGGGGAAAGCCTTGGACGTCCTTTTAGTGCGTCGCTGTGCTGCTCGCCTGCTGACCCGCTGCTGGCTGGAAAGAGGTGGAGCCAAGTTTGCAGCAGAGCTGCGAGCAGCCCAGCATGGGTCCTGCTTTTCCCCTGCCCCACCAGGAGACAGAGCTCCAGCATCAGAGCGGATGCTCCCCTCTGCTGGTCACTTCACAGCTCAGACTTGCTCTGCTCCTGTAGTAGCAGGAACTCGGGTGCTAGGATGTCATCTTCCGCCTCCAGCAGCAATGGACAGGGGAAGGGTAAGCCTAAATCCCAGACTCCCAAAAGAGGGAGCCTGCAGAGCAACACCAGCCCCGGTGAGTGTTGATGAAACGGGGTCCCACAGAGAGAGAGAGTGCAGGAAGTATCAGTTGTTACTGTGGGGTGGAGTCAGCGACGCAGATGCATGTTATGTTGGCATGCAGGTTTTTATGCTTTCCAGCTTAGGAAATTAGTTTGCAAATGTGGGGATCCCCTTCGTAACTTAATGTTGGTTCTTATATTTGATGTTAAAGCAGTTTGTTTTCGGCTGATGTTTAATATGCAGCATGTGTGACTCTGCAAGGACTGCTGCAAAGACTGTCTGAACATAATTAAATAATAAACCAAATATAAACTTTTAATTTTTTTATTAGTTTCTTGTTGGTTAATATGAAGAGCAATTTCTTGTTTACAATGTTAGCCTGAAAGTGCTAAAATGGGAAAGAGAGGAAAACATTTACATTTATACAATGAGCGATGAGTTCATTAATTGTAATATTACTGGTTGATAAATGCTTGAAATAAGAGGTTAATTTATTTGTGAACACATATTTTAGTTTAGTTTTGGTCAGATGGTTTCTATATCATTCGCATAAAATTATTTAGTAATATTGTATATTAACTTTGCGCTTCTGTTTTTTAATTTTGGTAAAATGTTAAGTTGTTTTTAACTCATATATTATGCGTGCTATTTGGGGCTGGTCATTCCTGCAAAGGCAAGCTGACCTTGTATCTTCTGATACTTGTTTCTGATGCTGGCTTTTAGGGTGTACAGATGTTCCTCACTTTGGATTAAAAATCGAGGTACACAACCAGAATAAGCACATTACAGGAAGAAACAAAACAACAAAAAAGTAAAGAAGTTGATCAGTCTTATTGCTGACTCAGATGGGTAAAGCTTGTTTCTGTTTCTGCTGCCTCTGGGGGAGGAGTCTTCCCAGGCCCTGATCAGCCAATCAGAAGCCAGTTTTAGTAAACGGGGTTTCTGCAAGATTTTTCAGGCTCAGTTAGAGAGAAAGAAGGTATTCAAATGTTGCAGACAAAATCTCCTGGCTGAAGCATTTTCACATTTAAGCTCTCAAACATGAAATCCTTCTATTAACCTGTTATTCACGAGAGGACCCAAATTTGGGTCCTCTCGTGACAGAGGTGTCAAACTGCAGTCCTCAAGGGCCGCTGTCCTGCAACTTTTAGATGTGCCTCTGCTGCACCACACCTGAAAAGAATAATTAGGTCATTAGCAAGGCTCAGGAGAACCGATCTACACAGGGAGGAGGTAATTAAGCCATTTCATTCCACTGTTTTTTTACCTGTGGCACATCTAAACACTGCAGGACAGCGGCCCTTGAGGACTGGAGTTTGACACCCCTGTCATTGTGAATGACAACCTGTGAACAACAGGTTAAATGAAAATACAGCCATATAGTTCAGAGTTTAACACATTAATCAATCATTTCTCAGGGATTAATTTAAGGTTTTTAGAATTAGAAATAGAGCCATACTTAAGGCAGAGCAATATAGTTTGTACTAAAATATGCGTGTTACATTTTTGAGAGGTTTTTATTCTCTTAGAAATGTTTTCACTTTCTGGCAAGATTCCAAAGAGAGGCATGCTATGTTCAGTGTTTTTGTACACATTAATATTTCCAACTTAATGTCACATCTTGACATTAAGTCCCATTAATAAGGGGTTGTAGCTCCATTACTGCGCTTGTGCTATAAGTTAACTGTTTTTTTTTTTTTAACAGAAACCGTCCCTCCAGTGTACTGATAATTACATCAAAGATCATTTCATGCAAATATTAACTTGTCTTGAAACTGGGTGATGCCTTAGTGTTGTGCAGCTTTCCTGTTTGGAGGGATGCGACTGCATATGTGAAGCAGTAACTCCCTCTGACAGACATTTTATGAAATTTGCTGAGGAGGCCCGTGCTTGGCGCAGTAATAAATAACTTAGAAGTCTCTCCATCCATGCAGTCATCTAAGTCCTCTCAATTAGCCGCTTGGCTGGGTCCTGTGCTTCTCGCAGTCTGTTTTGAGCACCAGATCTGGGCCACTTCTCTCTTCAGACCACATCAACCTACTTGCCCTCTGACAGCAAATTCGTGTTGTAAACATCATCTACTGTCGCTGTTGTGAGCATGGAGTTGTAAACAAGTCATGAACCCCGAGTCATCAACGTTTCCAAACAACGTGTTAAGTTCCAATACGCTACATCTTTTGTGTGTCCTGTTTATGAGGTTTATCTTGATCTACAGACATAAACAAGCCTTCTGATAAAAAGACAGCTGCAGGTTCAAATTCATTCAAAGGAAGGCAGTGGTGAGATTCACTGTAAGTCGTCCCAAAATATGCGGTTGTCCAGCGGTTCCTGCAGTTCTCCTCTGTTCTGGTTCATTATTAAACACGTTCCCTGTCATTTTAGGTCTTTGTGTCTTAAATTATGCATATGCAGTACCAGTTTTCACTTGTGGCGGCTCTCTAAAAGCTCTTGTAAACTTTACCGTCCTTCTTGCGCTCTTTGATGTCTGCAATTAGCTGGGCCTGCAGCTTACATCGAATCGGAGTCGTTGTCACAAAGTTAAATTGTGCTAAAAGATTAAAGCCTGCTTCATGATGAGTTAAAATGAGCTTTTTTCAATTCGGATTATTATTATGTTTATACAGACATCATAGTTAATTTTATTTATGTTTTTCTCTCCATTTTATTTTTTGTTTTTGGTTGTCATGGTTTATTTTGGATATTTATTATTATTTTAGGATTGGATAGGATAAAATTTTGTTGCCCACCAGGGTGGGAATTTTTCTTCAGTTCCTCAACCACAAAATAAAACATATTCAGACAATATCAACAGTTTGTGCATACAACACTTTTCATCCACAGGTAGATGTTGTCATTTAGTTTGGTTAAGAATGATATTTATTGTTCTTCTACATCCAGTTTCAAGTGTTTGTTTTTTTGTTTTGTTTTTTTACAAAATTAAAATTTATTGATCTTCCATAAGGCAAACTTTCATTATTATACCATTATCAATTTATCACTTGAAAATTGTGTCAAAACAACAATATTATCGTTTATCACAATAGTTACTGGAACAATTTATTGTCCAACAAAATTTATTATGACAGGCCTACTTGGATGCAATAACTTTTTGTACAATGGCTCCATATAATAAACTAAAATGAATTGAAAATATATAAAAGCACAATTAACAAAAAGTCCTCAGGAACAATGTGAAGCTTTATCTTGGCAAGAGGTTGTGCATGAAGAAGATAATCTTGAAAACAAAAGTTGTTACATGAAATAAACAAAATGGCTGCTTCTAATGTTCTTTTTTTTATATCCCATCAAACCCTTGTTAACATGCGGTCAGTTTGGTTTGCTGTAAAGCTTTCTGAACATTTACTGACTGAGTGTGTGAACATCAAACTGCAGAAAACGCCCAAATATTTCTCTGTTCAGTGGTAAAAATAACGGTCGCCTGCTCCATTCTTGTTTATTTTCTGAGATCCTTTAGCTTTTTGCAGCTAGAGGGAGACATCTGACATGGAAACGTCGTATTTTCAGCACATCAGTGTTAAACATGTGTCTCCGCTCTTTGGCCGTCCTGCAGTCAGGCATGAAGCGATGACCAAATCTTCCTGTGTTTGGGTGGAAAATTCCTGGGCTTTTTTTCCTGCTAATAATAGCTCAGTTGCTCCCCATGTAACATGGCTGTTCTGGAAAAGGGATTTTGTGGAGCAGGGAATCAAGGCCATGAAATCTCTCACCCCACCAACAGGTGGGCTTTTTGTTGCTGAGGGCCTCTAGACAGCACAGAGCCGCCAGTATCCTCTCAAAACAAACACAAGCGTCGGCCACACAAACTCACAGCAGGTAGACTCAACATCTGAAAACTCTCACTGAGGTAATTTGCTAAATGAACAGCAGCACTGCATGATTAAGATGCATTTCATTGGTAGACACAGTTAAGTTCTCCACTTTGTGCTCCTAGCAGAGATCCTCTTTCATTTAATCCTCCTCATTTGCTCAGAGACGAACCAGCGTCAGCTGATGTTTGGTCGCTGGCTTACTTTTTATTAGCTTCTGAGCTTACAAGTCTATTGTCTGCCCTGACCGTCCGCAGTGACTGATCTCTGTGACCACACTGGCTTTGTGAGGGAAAAATCATGCAAGTTGCACAGATGTTAAAAGATCAAAATAGTCATAATGTTGATGTGTGAGTAACTCATGCAGGTGCAAATAATTGGGTAACACTTTATTTGAAGGGGGTTGAATAAGACTGACATGACACTGTCATAAACATGACATAACACCTGTCATGAACATGAATAAGCCTTCATGAATATTTATGACTGTTGTCATAAAGCGTCATTCGGTAAATTATGACACTTTTAATACAAAGTTGACATTATTCAAAATGTCTTCATTATGACAACTTGACATTAACCAAGAAATCATTACTGTTATAAATTTGTTATAAAAGAATTACTGATTGCACTTTAAAAATTATGTAACTTTATGTTATTAAAGGTAAAGTTTAAACTTTAAAAAAAAAAGTGTTATGTCATGTTTATGACAGTGTCATGACATTCTTATTCACCCCCCTTCAAATAAAGTGTTACCAATAATTGTGCAGCAATTTGTTCAGATAAATGGGCAAATTTATTCAGGTCTGGTCAGTTTTTACTTCTTTTGACTTTTATTCAGAACTTCACTTCTTACTACTTTTTTTAAGTTTGTAAACTTAAGATGCTTTATACATTTAAAATATTTTTATACATTGCCTTTGCAGTATTTACGGGGTTTTTTTCGCAGGTTTTAGTGTGTTTAGTTCTATAAAATGTGGGGTGTGAGGTTGAGTTATCCATCTTTTTTTTTACTAACCATTCAGGATTTTTGTGCCTGCTTCCAGGATATGTTATAGTTGCTTTAATAATTGATGATTTGGAGTCGTTTATCTATTTTGTATGCACAATGTCCTGTAGCAAAATCCAGTATTGTAACACCAATAAATGGTAAACATACTTTGATCATTTATAAACTGTTGGGGAA